GGGATCCTAAGGCTTGACCTTGTTATCAGCACCACACTTTTCCAGTGAGAGGTGTAACAATTCTTTATATTCTGAATGCTAGACCCTTATCAGATACAGGATATGCAAATATTGTCTCCCATTCTGCGGATTGTCTTTTCACTCTTTTATTTTGGGTTTTTTTTTTTTTTTTTTTTTTTTTTGGTATCTGTCTAGTACCCTGTAACCAACTGATGGAGCTAACTGCCCAGCCAATGTCTTTTCACTCTTGATGGTATCATTTGAAGTCCGAAAGCTTTGAATTTTAAAGTTGAATTTATGTATTTTTTTTCTTTTGTTACTTGTGCTTTTGGTGTAGCGTAACTACCAATTTGAGATGACATAGTAAAATTATAATTCCTAGTTTTATAGTGATGTTACTGAGCCGTAACTCATATATTTATAATATAGTGTTTCCTTTTCTAAAAAATAAATAACATCTTAATTTTTTAATCTTGAAATTTCATAATCCTATGAAAGAAGTGTTTGAGTTGATTGAGCTTAAATATGCTCACTTAAAATGCTGGTTTATGGTTCTTTGAGAGTGTTGTGAAGGTAGAAATCATTCTTTTTATGTCTTTGTATACCCCTTATCAACCATTTCTTATGTGTCAGGCCCTCTATTTTGATACTTCATTTGTGTAATGTTACCTCATTTGACCATTTTAACTACTACTCAAGATTGGTGTGTTAGGTTCACATATATATAAAGAAGCTGAAGCTTGTAACATTCCCAAGCTCTTATAATTAGAAGATGACAAGCATGGATTTGAATCTAGATCTGTCATCTATATTGCTCATGTTCTTAACCGTATATCCCCTATTGCTCCGTCTTTTTTATATCTCCTTGAAGAGAGGGATGTTAGTATCTTATATAGTCTTATATATATTGGGCATTCAGTGCAAGTTTGAGTATTATGCTTTGTAAAAGCATTATTTCTGATAAACAGATAGGACACCAACAATGTAATAAAGTAAAGTAGGGCTGCCCATTTAGCTCACTTGGTTAGAATATGGTGCTGATAATACCAAGGTCAAGAGTTCAGATCCCCTTACTGGCCAAAAAAAGAAAAGGGAAAAAAAAGAAGATAAAATAGTGTGATAGCTGTAGTTAAGTTTTCAGCCAGTGAACTAAATTTGTCTCTGGAAGTTAAAGTGGAGTCTTTCCTTCTCTTGCATCATTATCTGTAGGAGATGCTGCAATCTAAAACACTTGACATTTAGAGGCAGGTTATTATTGGGGAAGGATAGAATACAACTTCTTGTTTAGTAATGCTGTTTACCCAAGTTCAAAGAGCAGAACTGCCACAGTGGCCCAGTGGAATGGAAAGAGCGGTGGTGTCAGGGTTATGTGACTCTAGTTCTTGGTCTCGCGGTTATACTATCTATCAGTATAACCTTGGGCAAGTCACTTTCCTTTTCTGATTTTGAGTTTCTTTTTTTGTATATTTGAGGGTTTAAAGTAAATGCCTAATGGTTCTCTGTTTTAAAATTCCCTGAAGTCAGAAAGCATCTCTGTCTTGCTCACTGCTGGATCCTTAGCACAGACTAGAGCTTGGTACATAGTATTAATGAGTATTTGTTCAGTGGCAATGGAACGTAATTTGACAGAACTGTGGTAGATGTCACTTTTTCTAGTTAGTTGCCATATGACCTTGCGCAAGTTTCTTAACATATCTGGACTTTAATTTCCTTGTCTGTAAAATGGAGATTAGAGATAAGATTACTTGCTTCCCATAGGGTTTATTATGAAGATGGAATGAGATAATGTATGTAAAGTATTTAGCACAATACCTGACACATAGTAATGCTCAAAAAGTTTGTTGTCCCTGAATTAATGTATGATCATTGTTTTTTGCCAGTTTCACTCATTCAGATCATCATAGTTTATTTTTTTAAAAGAGCTTTGAGTGAAATATTTACCTTAATTGGTTAGAACACAGTGTGATTATGAGAAAGTCATAGTTTTATCCCATTAGTGTCATTTAGCTTTTCTTCCTGCCATGACCTGTATCTCTAAGCCCAATCTCACCAAAGAGATCTGAATAGAAAGGGAAAGTAAAGAAATTAATGCAAATCTTTTGCCTCTACTTAGAAAACAATTTAAACCATATGTCACATTACTGACATGTTAGAAGAATAAACTTTATATGTGACAGAGGTATTACGTAAGCCTTAGGAGACCCCACTTTTTAAGGAACTCCTAAAAGTATGATTCTTTATCTTCCTTTCTAATTGCTTCTTGGTCAGAAATGGATCAGAAAGTCCATGGAGATGTGGATAGAAGGAAAATGTCCATGATAGATAGAGGATACAGGTCCACAATCTGTTAGTCAAAACCCTTAAGGTCTGATATATTTGGGAATTCCAAATTTTTCAGAATCTATAAAAATAATATGGTACATACATCATATATAACATAATCCCACAGTGGGATCTGTTCAGTTTCCAGTTATCAGACTAACATTTCTATAGTGAAATGCAGTACTCTAATATAAAGTGGTATAAATAGCCCATAAATAGCTTTACATCTGTTGAGATTAGGTTTTGCTGCCAAATTAATTTATTAAAAAACCTATGAGAAATCTAGAAATCTTTTGGTTTCCAAAAGTTTTTGGTTTGGGAATTTGCAGATACAAGATTGAAGACCTCATTTGCTCATAAAAATGTCATGCCTGTAGAAATTCTTGTGTAATAATAAATTTTAAGTCAGTGTTAGTTTTCTTTAACAGGTTTAAGTTTTCACTGTTTTTAGTTGCCTCTAAATAAAAAGAATTTATAGAATTTTAAGATCAGAAGAGATCTTTAAGCAGTGAATCATTAAAATCCTTTACAGGGGTCGGCCCGTGGCTCACTCGGGAGAGTGCAGCACTGGTAGCCCCGAGGCCACGGGATCCTATATAGGGATGGCCAGTGCACTCACTGGTTGAGCGTGGTGCCTACAACTCTGCTGAGGGTTACGATCCCCTTACCGGTCAGGGAAAAAAAAAAAAAAAAGATAATTTTTTTACAAGAGCAGTGTTGACCTTTTACTGTTTTATAATTTCTGTTGAACTTAAATTTTTGTTTTTGACGTACTGGGTTAAATTAAAGTTAGTGATGTATCTCTTTGTTGAGAGAAGTCTAATGTCTGTCAACTTTAAATGGAAAATTACGTGACCAGAAGCCTTTACTTGACTTTATATTTGAAAAGTATAATGGTACCATGAGAGTCCTCGCTTGCTTCTTCCTTAGAGGTACATAATGAGGTACATGCTTTGAGACTTTGTATTGTTCTAGGATATGCTGTATTTCATTGATTTGTAGGGTGCCTAGTTTTTATATTTTAATGTTTTAGAAAGTAGGATGAGTTACACCTATGAGGGTACTTCAAAGAGTTCGTGGACAAACAGAATTAAAAAAATATGAATCTCTCCATGAATTTTTTGAAGTACTCTCATATTGTTGGCCAGGTAGCTGTTGTGGTGTACTTTCACAGGCAGAACATCAAACCCAGCATCAAAACTTGAGGAATGGGGGTCATTGGCTTGGAAGAAAATCTGAGAGACATTAGTGGAGTTCTCTTCGAATCCTGAGGAACCAAATGGTTGTGAACAGTGGGTGTGAAAAAGAGCTTTGTACTCTACAGAGCCAGTCTGAGAGTTAATGGTGTTAGCTCTTTTATGGATTCTTTTATGAAACACTGCATTACTAGTGTTTTTGATACAACTCTTTGGGGGGAAAGAAAAGCTGTTGGTGAATCTGAATCAAAAAGTGATTCATAAGCATCGAACTCTGAATGCGAAGTAGGTTTAGTAGCACCTTAATCAATTTGTTTTGCTTATATTTTTCTTTTTATATATGTAAAAGGTGATATACTCATATGATAAAAATTCCAAGTCTAAAAGAATTCTTTTTTTTTTTTAAAGGTGACCAGTAAGGGGATCTTAACCCTTGGCTTGGTGTTGTCAGCCCCATGCTCTCCCAATTGAGCTAACCAGCCATCCCTATATAGGGATCCGAACCCGTGGCCTTGGTGTTATCAGCACCACACTCTACCAAGAGAGCCATGGGCCAACCCTTGAAAGAATTCTTTTAATAAGCAAAAATAAGAAGAAAGCAGTGTCATAGTTTAATAGTTTTTTTTTTTCTTTTATTGCTGGTATATAAAATAATGATGTGTCCAAATATAGTATGTCAAGTGACTGTTAGGCTAAATAAAATACGATTAAGTGAATGTATTGGATTAGATGAAATTTGATAGATTAAATTAATATCAAATTGGAATATTTGTCCACCATCTATAGGTGGTGCTATTGCTCTTCATCTAATTTTATTCTTCTTTTTTGGTACTTTCGTATTTTGTTTTTTCTTCATCTTCTTCATAGGAGCTTTTGTCTCTAGCTGGCAGTTGGCAGTGGACAGGCCTGTGAGCTTAACCTAGATCTTAGTCTTGAATTTCTTTCAGAATTTTCTCTTTACTACAAGGCCAGTGAAATTCAGAGAGACCCCATGCGAATTCTAGCAAAGAGATGCCGTTTTCCATTGCCTTGTATGTTGGCAAATGTGAGAAAGGCTATAGCATCTATTGACCCTCACTCTACTTTCTCAGGGTTGGCTCCTTTCTAAGGCAGGTATTTTCTAAGGAAATTTGGAGTGTGTTATATCACTACAGTAAGAAATATTAAATTTCTACTTGGGATACACATATAAACAAATACTGTTGAAAGTAAACTTTCACAATAATACTTTATCAATAAATAGTACTTATTAAATACTTCAGAAGTGCTGGTCTTAACCCAGTAGATGGGTTTTTATGATCCTCATGAGTTTCAACCCCCTTTTGAAAAACTATATATGTATGTATATATGTGTACATATGCATCTTTATTCTCACATGAATGAACTATTAGGAGTTATGGGTTGTAATCATAAGTTTTTGGCTAGTCCCTGCTTTATTGTTTGGGGAATTCAGTACAAAATTATTTTATTTTATAGGCTGGAGCATTGGATTTGCTGAAGGAGCTTAAGAATATTCCCATGACCCTGGAATTATTACAGGTATTTGCCTATATGTATCACAGTTTTTGAATAGGTAATTGTCATAAAATGATGAAACATCTTAAGTACCAATATAAATTTTTTTGTACTGTTTTGTTATGGTGTAAACCATTATTAAGTTCTGTTATTTTAAGATAGCAACATACTCATAAATGAATAATTAACTAAGTTGCCATTATAGAAAAATGTTGCCTTCCTTAAGAGTAAAACCTGAATCTCCAAGGTTGGCAGTGGCAGTGAAATCTCACTGTGAGAGTAGGTTGGACTCTTGGCTCTGATTTTGTCTCTCAGGATTTCACTTGGTCCATTATCAATAGCTGCTGCCAGCATGAAGCATCCAACAAGGGATTAATATCCAGAATACATAAGGAACTCAAATAGCTTAACAGTGAAATAACAAGTAACCCAATTAAAAAATGGGCAAAGGAGCTGAATAGATATTACTCAAAGGAAGATACACAAATGGCTAAAAGACATGAAAAAATGCTCATCATCACTAAGCATCAGGGAAGTGCAAATCAAAATCACACTGAGATATCATCTTACGCCAGTTATACTGGTCATTAACAAAAAGACAGAATAACAGATGCTGGCGAGGATGTGGAGAAAGGGGAACCCTTGTACACTGTTGGTGGGACCATAAATTAGTGCAGCCATTCTGGAAAACAGGATGGAGGTTCCTCAGACAACTACAGATAGAACTGCTATATGATCCAGCAGTCCTCCCTGCTGGGTGGATACCCAAAGGAATGGAAATCATCAAGTCAAAGGGATACCTGTACTCCCATGTTAATTGCAGCTCTGTTTATGGTAGCCAAGAGTTGGAACCAACCCAAATGTCCATCAACAGACAACTGGATAAGGAAAATGTGTTATATATACTTAATGGAATACCACTCTGCTGCAAAAAAGAATGAAATTTTGCTATTTGCAGCAGCACAGATGAACTTAGAAAAATTAAGTGAAATAATCCAGGCACAGAAAGAGGCATGTCTTCACTCATAAGGGGGAGCCAAAAAACAAAACAAAACAAACAAATAAATAAAAAGAACAAAAGAAAGACAGTGATCACAATAATTCCTTGAACTTTCAAAAGGAGCAAGCAGAACTGAGGCCACCGGAAGAGGGAAAGGGGAAGGGGAGGGAGGCTTAAGGGGGTATTGGTAAAGGGCCACAAAAAATGAATATATTGTGTAATGATAAAGATAGTAAGTATCCTGATTAGAGCATCACATATTGTATACAAGTATTGATATTCAACACTGTACCCCACAGATAAGTACAATCAATTATGTTTCAATAAAATGAAAAACAAAAGGAAATAAAAATAAAAAGGATTAAGAACTCCTCCTCTAAATGTAGACGCAAGGAGAAAGGAAGCGAGTCATGAAGTCCTACTTCTCAGTTCATGTTCCTGTCGAAGGGTCATCAGCTTCTCTTGGAAATAAACTGAGAGAAAACTTCCCTTTGAGAAAGTATCTTACCCACCTAGGTGTAACCTTATCCTGGCAGGCCTATGCAGGTAAAAATACATCAAAAACAACACAGTAATCCCAATGTTTATTTAAGAGATATGTATAGAGTTATAGAGGGTGTGGAGTTTGGATAGGGTTATTATTTATACCCCTCTCTAATTTTTTCATATAAGTGTACTTCTTAATCTGGTCACTTAATCTGGGATGTTCAGGAAAGCCTTCCTGTAGGTGAGAAAACTAAAGCTGAGTCTCAAAAGATGGGAATCTTAGCAGATAGGACAGAGAAGGGTATTCCAGCAGAGGAAGCTGTATGTGGAAGCAGTGTGGCATACTAGAAGTGAAGGTAAAGGAAGAGCGAGTCACATGGGTTGAAGACATAGGCAGGATGGCATGCAGGGCTTCATATGCGATCCCGAGAGAAGTACTACTGAAAGGTATTAGGCAGGAGGGGACATGACCAGATTTAGCCATTCAAAAAAAAGTGGGATGCTGGATACAGGAAGACTTGTTGACTAATGCAGTTACTCAGGCGAGCAGTGATGAGGGCTTGAACTAAGATATTAGTGCTAGAAATGGAAGAGGAATTTCTTTAATGATGGACAACATACAAGAATTGGTGGCTGATTGGGTGGGGGTGAAGGAGAGGAGGAATTTAGGAAGACTGATATTTTTGCTATGGTGACTGGGTAGATGGTACGATTTAATAGTATAGGAAAATTCAAGAAAGATGGTGTTAAGTTGGGGTTGAGGTGAGGAGATAAAGGATACTTTTGGATACACTAAGTTTTGAGATGCCTGTGAAACAAATATATGCAGATATCTGGTAAGGCAGTTGTTATGCCTTCTAGAACAGTACTGTCAAGTAGAACTTTCTGCAATGATGGAAAAGTTCATTGTCTGTCTAATATGGTAGCTACCAACCACATGAGGCTATTGAGTGCTTAAAATGTGACTGAAGAACTAAATTTTAAATTTTATTTAATTTTAATGAACTTTAATTTAAATAGGCATATGCATGAACCGTTCTAGAATATAGGAGAAAGGACCGGTTTAGGAAGTATTTGGGAGCTAACAGCATAGGGATGGATTAGATCTCTAGGAAGAAGGATAAACGGTGTTAGGATGTAATAGACTGGCTTAACTCAAATTGGAGAGTCCATCAGAGTTTACAATTAGGAGTGTGTAGGAAATTTCAGCAGAGAGAGTAGAATCTAATATGTATAGGTTGAAGGTGAGGAAGTAAACAGGAAGACAAATATTGTAATAGATTGGGCTAGTTTTGTAAGTTTTTTATATACATAAATTCTTTCAGTAATTATTTATTAAGTGCCTGCTGTGTGCTAGGTATTATTCTGCATGCTGAATATATTGGTGAACAAGACAAAGTCCCTGTCCTGATGGAACTTATTGAAAGGATAGTAAACATAGCTGTGTGTTTCTTTTTTCTTTTTCTTAACAGCTTTATTGAGATAAAATTCACATACTGTACAATTCACTCATTTCAAGTGTACTATTCAGAGGTTTTTAGTATATTAAAAGAATTCTGCGTGTTTCTTTTTTCTTTTTCTTAACAGCTTTATTGAGATAAAATTCACATACCGTACAATTCACTCATTTCAAGTGTACTATTCAGAGGTTTTTAGTATATTAAAAGAATTCTGCTACCATCACCACAATCAATTTTAGAACATTTTTATCACCCTAAAAAGATACCCTGTACTCATTACTCCCCACTTCCCCCCAACAGGTTCCCCTCTTTCTGCCCTAGGTAACTACTTTGTATAGATTTGCCTGTTCTAGAGATTTTGTATAAGTGGAATCATACAATATGTGACCTTTTGTGTCTGGCCACTTTCACTTAGCATAATGTTTTCAAGGTCCATCCATGTTGTAGTATATATCAGGATTTTATTCTTTTTTATGGCTGAATAATATTCCATTTATGGATATACCACATCATGTTTATCCATTTGTCAGTTGACAGACACTTGTTTGCTTCTCCTTTTTTGGCTGTTATGAATCAGAACCGTGGGCAAAGACACATTTTTTCTCTGCTAGAGTTTCACAATGTATAGTTTATCTTAAAAACTTTCATTAGTTCTGTAATCAAGAAAGCTGTTTAACCATACAATTCCTAAAATTACTTGTGTACAAAATACTTTTTTTATAGCCCATCTAATACATCCTGTAAATCTTAGCATACCAGTTTTAGGAGAAATCCTTAGAGTCTAGGGAATTCTTAGAGGCAAATCCAGACTTGGTTATCCAAATAAATAGCTTCAGAATTCTCTCCTCTGTCCACTTTCTCCCATTCTCCCCAAAATAACCCCTAAAGGAAAAAAAATCTACCTCAAATCTTTGTTTTTCACTCTACGTTAGCATCCTCATTTCTTATTTTAACTGTACAATCTCTTCCTTAAATAAGCATGTTTATTACAGATAACAAAACCCATACTGAGAATGTAGTTAGGTGCCAAGCAGGATGATCACTGATTTTTCAGTAATCAACACATCCTGTGATAATTAAAGAGCAGTCATTCAACAGTGCATAATTTTTTCATCCTTTCCTTCTACCTTTGCTTTCTTGCAAGCCCCTGCTAAAATGCCATCTTTTTTTTGCCAATCCATGTCAATAGTACTCTTCAGAACTACATTAGTACCTCTAGTTATTTCCTCCACTCATTCAAAAAAGTAGGATTTTCTCCCCCAAACTTGCCTTGTTAATCCCAAAACGTTGTGGGGATTTAGAATTGTGGGTCCCTTTTATTTTTCTGCTATTAAACCTTATCTGCTTTGCTCAGCTTTCCAAGAGATGTAACGCAGGACACACTAGTCAACCACATATTCTAAATTCTTTTTTGTTTTTGGCTGCTGGCTGGTAAGGGACTCCGAATCCTTGACCTTGGTGTTATAACACCATGCTTTAACTGACTAAGCTAACCGGCCAGTCTTCTAAATTTTTGAACAAAGCTTCTGTCCTGAATCTGTCTTTTTGTTGAGAAGGTTGAATAATTTAGATTAAATACCTATTTATTTTTCTGCCTGAAAGTTTACAGCAGGGATTCTCTTCTTTTTTTTTTTTGCCACTAAGAATTTCTTTTGTTATTTCTTTCTTCCATAGGCCATATGTTTTGAAAGATCTACTAACAACTTGAACTTACTAAATAATTTACAATTTTTTATAGGTCATTCGTAATTGGGCTGTCATAGCTTTTGTGCTCTTTGAGCAGTTTGAAAGCTGTTGATGGGTTGAAAAAAGCATGGACTTTGGACGTGGACAACCTGGATTAAAATCACAGTTTTGTCAATTAGTAATGGTGTAATGCTGGACAACTTACTTATTTGTACTTCCAGTCTCTTCATCTTTAGAAATAAAGATAATGATCTCAACTTTGAAGTGTTGTTAGGAAGATTAATGAATGTGAATGTTCCTGGCATAATCTTGAGCATATACTGTTACCACTTGTTAAGTTTTATCTATATTCTGTGAAGTCCATTTTAATATCCGTGATTATATGCTGATTACAGGCCCCCCCAAATGCTCTTTAAATCCCTGTGGGTGGTAGTTTTTGTTTGGGTATCCTCATTGTAAGTTGCAGTAAGTGCTCTATGAAATAATCTATGTAGAAGAATGTATAGAAACAAAAAGTGTATATATTAGTCATGATGGCTTAAGCCTGCCTTATATACAGATACAACATTTTATATTTTACCCTGCCTTATTTCTTGTGGGAAGACTGATCTCATTTCACTAGTTAACCAGTCTTAGTATAATAGCAAATTGTTTGCTTGCAGATCTCAGTGATAAGAACATTGATGAGTCCAATGTTTGATCTATATTGTGCTATTATAAGAATTCAAATAATTGAAGTTTTTTAATTCTAAAATATAAACAGGAATGTGGAGAGAAGAAAATGTGGGTAAAATACTAAGTTGTTTTAAATAAAATTGGTGACAAATTTCTTTGTTGTTGCCTTGCAGTCCACAAGAATTGGAATGTCAGTTAATGCTATTCGCAAGCAGAGTACAGATGAAGAAGTTACGTCTTTAGCAAAGTCTCTCATCAAATCCTGGAAAAAGTTATTAGGTATAATTGATCTTGCCTTATATGTGTTTATGATGTTCTAGCTTATTCAAACAGTTGGCTATTGCATTTTTTTCTCTATGAATCTGGATGTACTGAAATCCATGCCTTGTAATAAGGGTAAGGGGGGTTAATTTGAACTTCTTGAGGGTTTTGCTTTTTAGGCTAGTCAAATTTAGCTTTTTTGACTTTTGACACTTATAACTGGATAGGCTGTTACTTAGAGAAGAATTTTCTCCCAAGGGAAAAGTGGTGCATACTTTTTGAAATGTTTTTTGGAATAATTCTTTAACTTGCAGAACACTTGCAAGAATAATAAAAATAACTCACGTGTATCCTTTATCCAGATCATCAGTTTTTAATATTTGCCAAATTTATTGTGTTCTCTCTCTTTTGCTGTCTTTTTTTATATGTATATACACACACAACTTATTTTTTCTGAACCATTTGAGAATAGATTGAATATATCATGTTCTTTTGTCCTTTAATAAACTTAAGTGTGTATTTCCTTAGAACAATTTTATTTTCTTATGAAACCATAGTTTAAGAAATTTAATATTGGTACAGTACTTTAATCTACAGTCCATGTTTCAGTTTTATCAGTTGTCCCGATAATGTCCTTTATAGTTTTTTTTTCGCCTCCTTCAGAACAAGATCCAGTCTAGGAGCACATATCTAGTTTCCTAATCTGGAATAGCTCTTAAGACTTTGTCTTTTATGACATTGACATTTTGAAGAATATAAGTACCTTTCTCATGTTTGTATTCATTCATTCATTCATTCATGGTGGCTGGCTGGTATGTGGATCTGAGCCCTTGACATGGGTTCCATTTATTTTTTAATAGCATGTTCCTTATTTGGGGTTTATCTGCTGTTTTCTCATGATTAGATCAGGTTGTGCATCCACAGTTCAAATTCTATGTAAGAATGTTATATTCTTCTTAAGGTATCAAATCCAAAGGCATTGATGATGGTAATTTTGAGAACTCTGTCAAGGTTACTGTATGGTTTATTATTTTTCCTCTTGTAATTAATAGCCATTCTGTGGGAGACACTTTTAAGACCCTGAAACTATTGCGTGCCTTGTCAGATCTTCCTCCTCCCCTCCAATTTAGTATCCATCAATTCTTGCCCAAGCCAGTCTTTATAGTGATGGTTACAAGACTGTGATTTTCTAACTCCTTCACTTTAATATTTATAAATCATCGTTCTGTGAGAAAGAACCCTCCTTTAACCCCCCCCCCCCAACACACACTTATTTATCTATTATTAGTGTGGACTTGTGGATTCCTATTTTATATGATGGATGGTGATCCATTCTCATTTATTTTGATATTCACATTATCCCAGATTTGGCCAGTGGGCACCCCTTCAAACTGGTTTCTGTGTCCTCTTGAGAAGCCTTCTTCAGTTTTTTGAACACTTTCTTAACATTCTAGCACCACAACATGTATTGGGCTCATCTGTCTTCCCTGCCTCAGTCCTGGAATCAGCCATTTCTCTAAGCAGCTATCAACCTTATTTGGAAGAGAAAACAGGAAAAGTGAACCTTTTAAAATTTCAAAGACAACAGTAATAAGAAATCTATTTCTCACAAGAGCTTGGAAACTAGGAACTAAAAATTGTAAAGCATATAAAATTTAAAAAGTCTGGTCTTAAGAAAACTAAATGTAATACATGATCCTGTGTTGAACTCTGGACCAGAAAATAAAATATTACTATAAAGATCATTACTGTGAAAATTGGCAGAATTTGTATAAAGTCTGTCGATAAGTTAACAATATTATACTATTGTTAAATTTACTGATTTATTTGCTGTGATATAAATGAATATCTTTATTCCTTCTTAGGAAGTACATAGTGAAGTATTTAAAGGTAAAAGAGCATGATGCCTGCTATTTTTTTTTCAAATGGTTCAAAAGAAACATGTCTATGCATGAGTATGTATGAATGTGTGTGTATATGCACGCATGTATGTGTATATGCGGGGTAATGAAGGAAGGAATGAATGAGAAAGCAAATGTGCCAGAATGTGAACAATTGGGGAATCTGAGTAAAATGTATATGGAAGTTCTTTGTACTATTATTACATTTTTGCCAGTTTGAAATTGTTTCCAAGTAAGAAACAATTGGGGTTTTTTTTGGGTGGGGGGAAGGGGGTGGAGAGGAACAGGTAAAGGGGCATGAAAATCAAGTACAATGTATTTTGAGAAGTAAAATTAAATTAAATTAAATTTTTTAAAAAAAGTTGGGTTTTTTGGGCTGGCCTGGTGATGCACTGCTACAGTGCACCGCTTGGGAGCGTGGTGGCGCTCCCGCCGAGGGTTCGGATCCCACATACAGACCGGCCGCTCACTGGCTGAGCGAGGTGCGGGCGCAACACCGAGGGTTGCGATCCCATTGCCGGTCCCGGTCCGGTACGGGCGCGACACTGAGGGTTGCGATCCGTTGCTGGTCACGAAAAAAGACAAAAAGGAAAGAAAAAAAAAAAGTTGGGTTTTTTAAAGGTCTGGTCTTTAAAGACAAGTAGAAACTCTAGGTTTATAGTTCATTTAACTTTTAAATTTAATTTCATATTCTAAAGTAATCAAAGTCATGGAAAGTTAACTGAGAACCATATACATATATTTTTAATTTTAGAAAGATGCTTTACATTTTGTGGGAGAAAAGAGTGAACATTGCAGTTATGCTCATTTAATCTTAAATTTAATTGAAGGTATCTAATTTCAGTTCAGGTTCTCCTTTTAAAACTTTTTTATGTTAAAAGATTCACATGTTCATTAAATAAAATTTGGAGAGTTGGAGGGAAAAACAGTCATCCTTAGTCTGTCTCTGAATGCAATCATCAGTTAGTATCTTGTTGCATTTCTTAAGATATAATAGGCATTGCCTTGTGTTAATGCATTTAATCCTCACAACAATTCAGTGTGATAGGTGCTATGATAATCTTCATTTTATGGCAAGGAAACTGAGACTTGAGTGGTTAAGTAACTTGCACACAATTGGATTGATGGTGAAAATAGCCAAGCTGAGATCTGATTGCAGACACAGTCTGAGTCCAGAGCTGGAGCACTTCATTCTCTGCCAGCTGTTCTGTATTGCCCACAATACTGTATCAGGTAGTAGTAATGTTTTAAAGGCTGTTCATGTCAGCCTCTTACTGCTCTGCTTTCCAAAAGGATTTCACTGATTCATTGTGCCACATCAGTTTTACTGCCCCCTTGGCAGCACTGGATTCTTGATAGATCATATGTCATTTTTATATCACCTTTCACTTTTAATTGCTTTCTACCCTATTACTTTTGGACTATTTCTTAGTCCTTGCCATATGTCATTATTAATCTTTTGTTTTCTTCCTCACATTATTGTAGCATCTTTAGGCTTTGGGGTCTTCAAGGTGAATTCTAGAGAATAACAGGGAGCAGTAAAATTAATGTGTGAAAACTAAAATGTACACTCACATCATATCATAAAGGGCTTGAACTGTATTTTAGGTTTGGTAAACCTAAACTTTACAAGATAAGTTCTACAGTTGTGATTTGGACTATTCTCTATCAGTGATTATCATCCAGATGGCATTTTAGAGTTGTCTGGGGAACTTTAAAAAATTATGATGCTTGTGCCTTACTGCCAGGGATTTGGCAATCTGGATTGGAGCTTGGCATGAGGATATCTTTAAAAGTTCCCTAGATGATCCTAATATCCAGTTGAATATATTTTATTTTGTATTCTATATAGGGAAATGTGAAGAGTTGAAAGAATTATTTGTGTAACCTTTATTACTTATGTAGGGAGCAAAATATAGATAAATTTGGTAATTTATAAAGTAGTCCCAAACATTTTCTGGACCTAGCTTCAAGGCTGTTTTGATTGATTTAAACGTGAATGTTTCTTGTCGGTGCTAAAATATTGCATTAACTCAACCTATTTTAAGTACATTATTTCACAGTGTCTAATTGCTTACCTCTTAAGTCTTAAAGCCTGTGCACTCTGTGTTACTTTACAGGTCATTTAAGTTAGAAGAGGTGTTAGGTAGGTCTTACTAATCCTGAGATATTTTCTGTGAAAATGTTCTTTGTTTACTATCATGGAAATATTTATTTGGGGTACCTTCCTAAATTTTTTGACTTCATGAAAAGTTATTAAAGCAATATTGCTATATGTAATTTGTGCTTTCATTTTAAAGATGACTGATATTTTTTTCATATTCTTTCTTTTGTTCTGTATACTTTCTTCCCTTTTAGGTTCCCATTGGCATATAAGTTTGTAGTTCCCACCAAGTGAGAGAATTTATTTGGGAGTGCTAACTGAACATACATATGAAAAATACCCAAGTACATATGTTAATAGAATAACTTGCATAAACTTCATTTACTTTGGGTAATTTAGGATTTTAGGAGTGTGTGTGTGTGTGCGTGTGTGTGTGTGCGCGCGCGCGCGTGCATGTGTGCATGTGTGTGTGTGCGTGTGTGTGCGTGTGTGTGTGTGTGTGCGCGCGCGCGCGTGCATGTGTGCATGTGTATGTAAATGGCCTAACATGTAGTATTTCAGTTCTTTTTTTTAACAAATGCTAACAATTTAGGGATTTCATAAATTTTCAGATGGACCATCAACTGATAAAGACCCTGAAGAAAAGAAAAAAGAACCTACAGTTACATCACAGAATAGTCCTGAAGCAAGAGAAGAAAGGTATTTAGCTTTATGGAAATTCATTTATGTTGAAAGTCATAGATTATTTTACCTGCTCCATCACTTTCTCAGTGGTCTTATGATCCCATACCTGCACTCCTCTTTATATTTTCTAATCAAACAGAGCCAGTAAATGTATATAGACAAATATTCTAAAGTTTTTAAAATTTTTTAAAAAGATTTCCTGAAAATTTAAGAGAGAGGTAGAAGACATTGTATAAATATGAAGAAATTACTTACATTGTATTCAACCAATTTAATTGAACGGGATTGCTGGGATAGGGACTGATATAATTGATAGTGAAAGTAGTTATTAGGGATTCAAATGGTTACTTCCTCTGTTTACCACATTTCTTATTTAGATTTATTTCAGCTCTGGATCTCATTCTCCTTTTTATGTTTCTTTTTTCCTTCCAAATTTAGCTATTTCTTATAAGAACTTAAAATGTGAAGTTCAGTAGTGAAGGGTTCAAATTGTTCCTCAGTTCCTATAAGGTCTTTGCATTTATTCTTTCCTGTCACATATGAACTGCTCGGTATCCAACATGTTGCGGTAGTAGGTAATATGTGTAGTAGATTAAATATGAACAGTTCCTCTGTTCTTGGAAGCAGTTCCTCTGTTCCTGTAGTTAACAATTGACATTGATTGAGAGCAGTGGTTCTCAAAGTGTGACCCCTGTAAGAGCAGGGAGCCTGACAACTTGTTAGAAATGAAGATTCTCAGTCCTCATCCTGGAATTATTGAATCAGGAGTTCTGACGGAGGGGCCCAGAAATCTGTTTTTTAACAAGGTCTTCAGGTGATTCTGATGCATTCCAGTTTTAGAACCTCTGCTTTAGAGCAGTGGCTTCCAGACTCTGTTGTCCCTTAACTTTTTTGTTTTCTTTAATTGAAAAGTATTGGTTATACATATTTGTGGGGTACAGGGTTGAATATCAGTACATGTATACAGTGTGTGATAACCAAATCAGGCTAATAAGCATATTCATCATTACAAAACTTAATCATTTCTTTGTGATAAGGATATTTGATCTCTCTTCTAGCCATTTGATAACATGCAGTAAGTTATTGTTAATTATAATGTCCAGCTTGACTGTACACCAACAGAACTTATTTTTCCTATCTAGCTGTTTTGTGTCCATTAACCAACCTCTCACTAACCCTCCCCCACTTTCCTACCTCTAGTAACCATAGTTCTGCTCTCTTCTGAAAGTTATCCCTGAACTTTTGACTACTGTGTACCCATATAGAGATTTAGAGGTATTTAGGACTTTAAAGCTTTACCTATTTTAACTTTTTATCTCAATATTTTCACAGAATTTATATACATTTCTCATTTTTTTAGTAGCTCTATTAATATACCATACACTGTTATTTTATATGTTAGTATTAACTAGATGTTAAAAGAAGTAAGCCAAAGGTAGGGTTAAACGACAGTCATTAATAAAATTTATGCAGTTTTTTCTAACTTTTAATTCTGAGATAATTTTAGACTTTCAGAAAATTGTAAGAATAGTTCAAAGAACTCCCATAATTCCTTTATCCAGTTGCACCAATTATATTTATATATATAAGAGTACTTCAAAAAGTTCATGGAAAGTTCACTGGTATTATCTTTTAATTCTGTTTTTCTATGAACTTTTTGAAGTACCCTCATATATGTATATGTGTGTTTATATACACACATGAACTAATTTTATTTTGAACCAAATAAGTGATTTGCAGACATTATGCCTCTTAGGCTGCCAAATACATCAATGTGTATTTTCTAAGAACAAAGAGGTTTTCTTACCTATAACCACTACAACTGTCTATATCAGGAAATTAACATTTTTTAAAAACTGTATTTATTAATATTATTTTTTTAAATTCTGAGACGTTGTGGAGCAGATCGGGGGAGGGGGAGATGGGAAGGGGGAAGGAAATAGGGTGGGAGGAGTAGGAAGGGGGGGTGTCGGTTGACGTTCATGGCACCCCCCTCATTCCGGCAGGGAAGACCAGGGGCCTCTGGCTGTGGCTCAGTGGTTGTCACTGGGCTGGGTTGCAGATGTCAGCAGGGTGTGGCTGAAGCCCCCAACCTTCCCCCATCCCTGGCTTGGGAGCCCGGAGGGCTTCTGGTCCTTCTAGGTTTTATAGGTGTTCTTTGGTGGTGTTAGACCTATACTAGTTAATATCAGACTTTGTCTCTTATCTGTAGGTATTTTGTTTTTTCTTTCAGTTCTGTGTTGGATTATTCACTGTTCCCAAAACTAAACCTCTGCACTGGAACTAATCTGTTGTCCTTTGCTTACTTCTAAAATGGGGGAACTTCCTGTGGGGACCAGCACTTGAGCCCTGTAGTTGAGCTAAATTGCCGCTTTGCTGCTGATTCCCTGGGGAAGCCTTTTTATGCAGCGCAGGTTTTAATTGTTGACCTTGTATGTCCTTTGGATCTTGTGAGGTCCAGTACACCTGTGTTGTTTGGAAGCTCTGGTCTGGGCCTGAGACTTTTCAGCAAACTGCACACTGTGCAGATGTGTATTCCTGACCAGTCTCCACTGAGTGGTCCTGCACTGATTGGGGGCAGATCAGTTGTCCATGCTGTGCCACAGTGTTCCCCAGGCAGGCCCATCTCCCCCATCCCCCATACTCCAAACACTTCCCATAGGATGGGCTGTGCTGCAGTCCTTTGTGATGACTCGCATGCCTCTGAGTGGCTCCTTTTTTCAGTTGTTTGTGGCTCTTCGCTGCTATGTGGGTCCACCAGAACCCTGTTAGTGGTTTTGATGGCCTGGGGGCCACCAAGGCTCTCTTCTCCCCCACTGCCTCCAAGCAACTTCATAGGAATGGCACAGTAGTGGCTTTTGTCATTTCTTGCTCTGTACACTCACCAGCTCAAGACTTGAAGTGGCTGGGGCTCAAAATGGTGGGATTGATCCTTTCTTCCTCTCATCGTGGCTTCTCCTGCCTTCATGAACTCCATGGGTCTCTCCTTCTCTTCCCCCGAGCTCTAGCAGCCCAGCTTGGCTGTTGTTGCTTTTTAATAGTTGTAAATTGGTTGATTTGTGGGAGTGAGTGACACTGGGGACTGTCTATTCCACCATCTTGATAGCCACCTTCAAGAAATCAACATTGATACAGTACTTTTTTCTAATCTAGAGACCTTATTTGTATTTTAGCATTTGTCCCAGTAATGTATTTTATTGCAGAGGAAAAAGATTTTTCCAAAATATTCAGAACACATATTGCATATAGTTATCATATTTGCTTAGTTTCCTTTAATCTGCAATAGTTCCACAGTCTGTCATTTGTCTTTTCATGACCTTGATATTTTTGAAAAGTACAGGCCATATTTATGAATTTTTTTTTTTTTTTTTTTTTTTTTGTCTTTTTTTT